TATATAGATACACATATATGTATACCTCGAAGTGTATATCATATCTTATATGCTTTCATACAAACATATAGACATACTTGTACAAGAATCGTGACAGAATCTACCTTATTTTTTATAGGACTGGCTGTATGAAGGATTCAGCAGCCGACACCTCCGTGACACAAGAGAATACCCAGCAGGAGTCCACTTCCGAGAGCGAGATACAAATTACACAAGCCATCGTGGATAATTCCGTGAATTTCGGAGATGTGGTTGCTATAGTAATCGCTGTGCTTATCATCGCGCTCATGTGTGTGGCGCTGCTGGTAGGTATACTCGCGTGTCTGCGAGCAAGGCAGTTCAAACGCGCGGGTATGGGAAAGAACAAGAGCCAATCAGCCTTAGCGGACCAGCACTGCGCAACTGAGGTAGGATTGGCTTGACTATGTGTAGTAGTTAGGATTGGCTTGACTGTGTGTAGTAGCGTCTATGGCTTATATAACTGTCATCCTTGTGGTTACACTTCGTGAGGGGTATGCTGAACGGCGTTCGTTTTGTCGTGGTAGTGTGCACGCGCTCGAGTAGCATCGTATCCTGGTTCGATACGTATCAAGATACTTTGCTTAAGGATGCACGACTGGGAGTGTACATAGAACCCTAAAAATCCCTAAACCCTGGAACCTTAAAACAATATGAGGTGACCTTACCCTTCCACTCACTCTGTAGCACTGACTATACACCTACAGGGTCTCGGGGTAGCATACGATCCTGTAGCATTCCTAGATGTGAGTTACAAACTGAAGAAAGATTCTCCCAAACTGCTGGATGGTGTTACTGGCGTGGTGCATCCGGGAGAGATGGTCGCCGTAATGGGTCCTTCAGGAGCTGGCAAAAGCACGGTCAGTGTTATTGAGATAAGCACACTTTTAATTTGGGTTGTTTGTATACATGTTTACATGCGTGTGTGTGTTCTTGTAGGTCCTCGCGTATTTGTATAGATACATACACACAAACGCACACACACACACACACACACACACACACACACACACACACACACACACACACACACACACACACACACACACACAC